CACGCCTGGCTGAAGCCCCCCTGCCCAGGGGGGTGGGGGAGAAGGAGCAGGCGGGGAAGGGTCTCCCTGGAACGCCCCCGGCGCAGCCAATGGGACGCGGCCGGCTCATAAAGAGCCCCTGCATTGTGCCTGGAATTAGCCGCGGTCCGCGCGTTCCGTTCCGGCTCCGGAGAGAATCTGCAGCTCGACTGGGGTTCCCCTGCTTGAGATCGGGCTTTCTGAAGGAAGGGGAGAAGTCCGGGGTCGCCAAGACGGCGCCCGGGAGTGGAAAAAACCCCGTGGGTGGTTTTAGGAAGGTTACTTGGCGCAGGCGTATTCTTTAGCTCCGGCTTGGTCACGATTTCTGCCTTAGTTGGCATCTCCCCCCCCCCTGTCCGCTTTGATGCGCTAATGGACTTCAGTGCCCTGGGTGTTTTTTCCCAAGCAGCTTCTCAGCCCCAAACAGTTTGCATTCCATTCTGAAAGTTGGAGGAGAAGGGAAAGGTCTCGGGATGGGGGTGGGGGTGGGGGGTAGGAACATCTGCACTCGCAGAACATCTGCACTCGCAATGCCAGTTTGCTATACGGGGGAGCCAGGCATCATGTCTCCCTGCCCTATGGAACATCCTGACCTCAGAGGGCCACTCCCCCCCACTTTCTGGACATGCATCAAGATCTGCCAACTGGCCTGGGGGGGGGGGATCTGAGAGTGGCATGCAAAACTGGGCGTGGTTTGTGGCTTGAGGGCACTTTTCAAACCTCTGTAACTTTGAACTTTCGGCCTCTTGTTTTTAATACTGGTTTTATCCATTTTATCCAAATGAAAAATCCTTTCCAGGGTTTTCATTTGTAAGCTGCCCACTTAGATGAGATGGGCGGTATAGAAATTTGATGAATAAACGAAATAAGGCGAATAAATAATGGAAAGGATCCATTTAGGCTTCAGATCTCTTGAATCCTCTGCTTCAATCCGATTCAGGACTAACAAGAGGTGGTGAATGTGCGAACTTCTGAGTCTGGACGGAGCACTCCTGCCATTCAGCTGTGGCTCTTGCTAAAGTCTGCCCTCTTCTTCTGGTGCCCAAAATTTCCCCATCTTTTCCAACTTACTGGTTTCAGAAAATACTGGATTTTGATTTTTAAATTAAAAAACAGAGGTTTCTGGGAGCCTTGTGAGTTTTAAGCCAAGGTCTTCAGGGAAGTGTGTGAACCGTGCCAGATCAGAGGGGAAGACGCAGACTCAAATGAGCTGCCAACGTCTCTCTCTCTCTCTGGGGTCTTCCTTTGCCATCCCGTCATCCTGGCTGAACTTCATAACCCACAGACCGCTCCGAATGTTCCCTCCGGTCCATTTGGTGTGTGGGTTTCCAGAGAAGCAAGAGCAGCGGGTGCTCTCTCGTTATCTCTATGGAAACCCCAGTCCTGGATGGGTTTGGATGGAGCGCTGCCATCTGTTTCCACCCCCTAATTTTAAGGGAACATGGCTTGGGTGACATCATGTCAACGTTCTTTTAATATGCCGAGGAAACCATCTGGGCATGTTGTCCCGGACCCAAAAGAGAGGAGAAGAGATGTGGAGACTTCTTGCTTGCAAATGGATGACAGAAATTCTCCCTGTGAAAAACTTCTTTTGTCAACTTCTTTTTTCAGGTTTCATTTTGGGAACGATTAACCTGGTTTCCTTAACAGAAGCACCAAGCCTCAATCCTGGCAAACATGAAGACGCTGGTAAAGACGGTTGTTATCGTTAAGCCTGGGCCATGGTAGAGTCTGTACCTCGCCTGTTGTCGCTCAGCCATGGCACAGGAGCCCGAATGCCGGCTGCCACTCCCCCACCCCCCAAATGAGAAATGATTCTCATTTTAGACGACTGAGTCTTGCAGACTCTGGCCACCTGCTGCCTTCAAGATGTGCCTTTGACTCCCGTCCTTCTAGGCAGTGCAGGAAAAGGCTTGATGGAGTTATCATCCCACGCATGGGAAGGGCACTGTGGGGGAGAGCTGCCTTATTGTGCAGTCTTGAAATGCCATTGGCTGCTGGTTTCATTTTAGAGAGTGCTTCTGTTTTCCACCTATGAAAGCTAAGACTGGATTCAATTTAATTTAGGAATAGCTTCTGTTTCTCTCTCTCTCTCTCTCTCTCACTCTCTCTCTCTCTCTCTCTCTCTCTCTCTCTCTGTCTCTCTCTGTCTCTCTCTGTCTCTCTGTCTCTACCTATCCATCCATCCATCCATCCCATCCATCCATCCATCCAATCTATCACCTTCTATGTCAGTGTTTCTCAACCTTGTGAACTTTAAGATGGGTGGACTTCAACTCCCAGAATTCCCCAGCTAGTTCTGTGAGTTGAAGTCAACCCATCTTAAAGTTCCCAAGGTTGAAAAACACTCTTATCTGCCTGCCTGCTTGTTCCAATCCAGAACATACTGGCAAAAGCCAGACGTTCTGAGCAGACTTTTAGGTAATTTCAATTCAATTTCAATTTACTTTATTTGTATGCCGCCCTTTTCCCTGAGGGGACTCAGGGTGGCTCACAGTTCAAGGGGGGGGGGGGAGAAAACAGACAAGTTACAAACATAAAAACCATACACCGTTAAAAAAGCACAACAGTCATACCATTCGAGTGGGGTTGCAAGTCTTTTAGCCCCAGGCCTGTCGGAACAGCCAGGTTTTAAGGTCTGGAGGGTGGTGAGG